GGACCTAAAAGTCACGTTATATTGCAGATGTTCATCCCCTGATCATCTTATTTTACCCCTCGATATTGTTGGAAGTGTTGGTGATTACGATTTAAACGCCGAAATATTGGAAAACCAATAGACTTAAAAATTATAAAAACCAGTTGATTGCAAATATTTTTTCCCTCCACATTCATCTTTGATTGACCCTTGTGGCTCGAAATCAGAGGTGTGAAAAGTAAGAATTCAGACAAAGTATTCAATGAAACACTATTTATGTTTCCAGTATAGTACTTTAAAGTTGTGGCGAAATATTGAATAACGAATAGGCGTATTTGAAATATTTAATTATACAAAATATTTACATTATGTCAGTATAAGATTTGTGTATATGTCCATCATAAATCTAATTAATTACACACTATTTTTCAATCGACTTCACTTCATTGTATACAAAATATTTCTGCGAAAGATTACGAAATCGACCTTGAATCTTACCTCTTTCCACAGACCCTTACTGTAAGTAAGCGTCAGCTTCCAACACCAGCTGAAGGAAAACAAATGCACATGCGTTCATGGGTGTTCATTCAGGTGGCTTCAGAGGTATATTGAAGAAGGGGACATCTTGAACATCGCTTTCATTCTCTATCATTCGTAGAAACGCTGTTGTGGACTTAGACTTGTGACTTTACACTTTATCCTAACTTTAACCATACCTTCCTGGGGTCCTGGTACCAATTAGGAATTTCATTTCACGTAATTGATGTTAATATATCCTATTGAGGGTTGGTAACAAGCCATCAATACCTAATACTACAATGGCTTTGTTAGACCCTTGGACCAAATAGAGAGATTGACTGTAACGCATCTACAGTTGAAAGAATGGAACGTGTTCAGGGTTGCCGCATCACGAACCACCGACCTCGTACCGCAGCCCGACACAATCACCATAATAGACTATACCCATTCCATATATAAACTTATAGGAAGATAATTACATAAATGATACCCAATGCAAATCGCAGGAATAAAGCTGCAAGCAAGGGAAGAAAAATAATAAAAAAAAAAGTAAGACATGGGAGCATAAATTCGCATCGTTCAAAGTTGGTGTGTGACAATAATGTAACCTTACAATACCAGTTTATAAAGTTAACGAAACCAACAAATTTATTATATGTTTTAAATATTTTCCATCTATATAATCCAAATCCAAGCGTAGAATATAAATATTCCACTATAACCGTAGCTACAAGTATTCCTCGGATAAGCTAACTATGCTTCATACATTCTCTATTCATAAAAATTAAAATTTTATAAGGTCGTGAAAGTTTCAAAACGATTAGTTTGTACACTTCAGAATAATCGAAGAACTTTACTGTTGTTTTTTTAGTGTGAAATCACTAGCTGTCATTTTGAAGATTTCAGAAACGTCAGTTGGAACAATATATCAGATATCAATACTGAGGAGACGCTACCCTGAAAGATAAACTAGCAGTGACTGACTTCATCTTTTGGCTTTTGTTCATAAAAAATACTGTGTATTTTACACACACACATACATATATTTAAAGTAGATATATATTTTTTCTAATTCACGTGATATATGTAATCAGTAAGATATACTATAATCTCTGACTGACTTCATCTTTTGGCTTTTGTTCATAAAAAATATTGTGTATTTTACACACACACACACATACATATATTTAAAGTAGATATATATATTTTTTCTAATTCACGTGATATATATAATCAGTAAGATATACTATAATCTCTGACTGACTTCATCTTTTGGCTTTTGTTCATAAAAAATACTGTGTATTTTACACACACACGCACAAACATATATTTAAAGTAGATATATATTTTTTCTAATTCACGTGATATATGTAATCAGTAAGATATACTATAATCTAGGTAGCTATGTTGCTTCATATAAAGTTTAAGTAATCATTCATCCTAAAGTCACAAGTATAATAAATTTAAATGGTTTAGCGTTCTACGAGGTAGAATGTTTGAATTTATGCAGAAGTTGCAGACGGTAACATTTTTAGAGTGAATAGTAGTTTTATACACACATACACACAAACAAAAAGAAGATAAAAACAAAAACATACAAGTAAAGGAATTTCAAAGCATTTAGAAGATAAATTAGACTAGGTGGCGTTTGAATTAAGTACATAAAACACCTTTCACGTCGAGCCGCATGTGAAGAGAAAATCAAAGGTACTTTATTTGTACAGGAAAAAAATTGCATTTATTTCTTTTAATTTTAGGACTTCTTAAAGCCCACTTGAGTACAAAAGTGTGTAGATGTATACCTGAAATAAAAAGAACGCCAAAACAGGCATAAAACATTTATTTCTATATATATTTGAAAATACTGAATATGTTTAATAAAGATAATTTTTATCTAGTATAATCTTGAGCAGCAAAAATTCTAAGCAACAACTTAACTTTTTTATACACGTTGCCACTATTCTATACAATGGTGGCCAGGTGGTTAGGGCGCTCGACTTGCAATCTGTGGGTTGCGGGTTCGAATCCCCGTCACACCAAACATGCTCGCCCTTTCAGCCGTGGGGGCGTTATAATGTGACGGTCAATCCCACTATTCGTTGGTAAAAGAGTAGCCCAAGAGTTGGCGGTGGGTGGTGATGACTAGCTGCCTTCCCTCTAGTCTCACACTGCTAAATTAGGGACGGCTAGCACAGATAGCCCTCGTGTAGCTTTGCACGAAATTCAAAACAAACAAACAAAATCTATACAATAGTGATTAATTTTATTATTTTCACGAATGTCAATATTCTAAAAACGATGTTTTTCAACATCTCTGTAATGAAATTTTTGCTCATAACTTCGAAAACATTTTAGTATAACGTTTTTGTTGTTCCTGGTAGCATCTGCTTATTTGCTCTTTTTTGCTGCTGAATCTTCACTTCATTGTGTATTTTCTAGTTAAATGTTTGTAATTTTCAAGAAAAGTAACGTAAGAAATGTAAAGAAGTTGTCAAAAAACTAACTATATATTTGCTTCAAGTCTATCAATAGAACGTCAGTCTCAAACAAATTAAGATTTTCGTAATATACTTCGCTTTTTTGTCTTCAGTTGAGAAACTGTTGTTGACAGCCTTTATCTTAAGAAAAAAAAATCGGGAAACAATAATAAAACAAATATATTTATACTTCTTTTAGTTGATATTTTACTCACTTTTTTGAAGATTTGATGATCCTGTGAGTATACCAGTCTTGTAGTATATGTACTACATGTCTGTTATCGGGCAAAGATATACTAGTTCTCATTTCAGTAGTGGTGTGTTTATTTGTGTCAGGAACTTACTTTTTTAGTTGAAATCTATAGTAACATAAGTTAAATATATAGGTGTGTTGGGCTAAGGATTCTTCTGCAGTTGGTGTCCGAGAGAAGTTGGCGATAGATTCGATAATAAACGAACAGCACGCACTACATTTGTTTTTAATATATATATATATATATATATATATATATATTCAAAAGAAGTTAATCGTATATACAAAAAAAATTACATTATGGAGATCGTAGGTGTATCTTAAACACTATACAGTTATCTTCTTCTTGTTAAAAGTCCGGCCCGGCATGGCCAGGTGGTTAGGGAGCTCCCCATCCTACGAAACATGCTCGCCCTTTCAGCCGTGGTGGCGTTATAATGTGACGGTCAAACCCACTATTCGTTGGTAAAATAGTAGCCCAAGAGTTGGTGATGACTAGCTGACTTCCCTCTAGTCTTACACTGCTAAATTAGGAATGGCTAGCGCAGACAGTCCTCGTGTAGTTTTGCGCGAAATTGAAAAACAAACTGTGTCACAAGTCCATTTAGGCCAATTCATTTACTTTAGAATTCAGTCGACAAGCCGAACTATTTTTCTTTATTTTTATTGTTATAGTGTCCGTGTATAGTTCACTTCCGTTGTCGTTGAGTTACCGCAGTTGTATCCTGAACTTCAAAAAAATCGTCTCCTTTTTTTCGTACTCCCAGTAGACGTCTGCCTTTTGTCAAAGTCTACTGAGGCGGGTTCAATTACTTTAGAACACCCTTTGACGAGACAACTATTCTCCTTATCTATATCAAAATTGTTGATCTCACTCTAACATATCAACTGTTAGGCCTTTCACTCCCACGACGATTAACTTTACGTGTAACTTTTCCCTGACCGATCTTTTCTTTTGTGAGACTATTTCCGGCTCGTCTAGTCGCCGTTATTTATACGTCTATTACTTAGGTCTTTTAGAAATCTCCATAGCTTCGACATCAATGAATTGCAAACAAAACGTTCGATAGGCTCGATGTCAATGAATTGCAAAACACAAAATTAATTAATTGATAATATTGTCTGCGCTAAACAATCCTTTATATCTGACAATTTGCTATGAAGCGCGTTCGGAAATTTCAATATATATTTAAATATGATTTTTGTGAAATATTAGAGGTTTAAGATATTAACGTTTTTGAGAACTAAAACTGATTTCACTATTCATCATAATAAAGTAGATATACCCTTTCATCTTAAGTCGTATATATATATAAAGCTATTTCAATAGATGACGAATGTAAATATGAGTGGCCTTTAGCTATTCTCTGTAAGTGCGTTGAACCTTAAATTTCATAAATTGTGCTAACTTAAAACAACGTTAATCGTTGTGCTGCCATCTAAACCAGAAAAATATAACTAAATGATGTGGTTGGAAAAAAGTTCAATAAATCCTTATTCAAATATACAGAATGATTTTTTTGAAGAAATTGACTTGTTGAAATATAATAAATATAAGCTCAAAAGATTTTATATAAATATCGTATCTTGTATTTTTTTAAATAAATCTGATGTCTTTTATTTCCATTATTATCAGATTTTTTGCAATAAAACTTCAAAGCTTGAAGAGAGAACAAACTCTTAGAAGTTACCATTTGTTATTTATAATGTATTATTTTTATGAGTATAAAATAAAATATTAATTTATGAATTGTATAACTTTCAATATCTAGCCATTGTATTCAACAAATTTTGGAAAGTGTCCATCACTGTCATCAAAATAATGTGGTTCACAGAGACCTCAAGGTAGGTAGTGAAGCTTTAAGCCTGTTGAATATGGTATAATGTGGTGTAATGTAAAAGTCAAGTGATTAATAGAAATAAAAATAGAATATTCAAACATACAATTTTCTTTGTAAGTTTCTATTATATCTACATGGTCTGTTTTTATAGTCATTGCCAATCAGTCACTCATATGATAACTAGTGGTAGTGTTTTATTGAATTAAACTCATTAGAAATCCTGTTCCTAAATGAAATTTGGAAATAAAGTGGTAGAAGTTTTAAATTAAACAGTGTAACCTACATTAAAAATATATAAATTCTTCACATATTACCTATAGTGTAGATGATTGATAAGTCTCACTAAATATACTGTAAATGAGATTAGGTCCACACTAACAGAACAATACCAAATTTATATGCATACTAGTTTCAACAAATGTTGGACTGAAGAGGACATGTGAAATGTGGTAACTAGTATCCATTATTAGTTTGGTATTGTTTCATTAGTGTGAATTTAAACTTTATTATAAATTACTTCATATGGTGTTGTGTCTTTACCTATTATTATCAATGAGATAACTAGAAACGGGTACAACATAAGAAAAGTGTTGTTCATTTGAGGCATCTTAAGAAATATTTTGAGGTGCTGCTATATAGTTTCACACATTCTTTTGCGGTCACTAAACATTACATTATCAAGTTCAAATGCTGGAAAATGGGATTATTGAAAATGTTTATAATTGTTCAATCACTTCATTAGATTTGCACATTCATCATTTAATATTCCAAAGCCTATTCAAATTAAAATAATGCTATTGTAACTTATTGAGACATTGTATTTGTTTAAAGAATTTTAAATACCAATTCTTACCATTATAATATCTCTTGTATGATTATCCCATGAATTCAATGATGATATATCATAGAAAGGTATGTGATTGTTGCCTGAAATTCATGATTCTCCAACTAAATCATAACTTGTGTGCTACATATGTACACAATTACAATACTTCCTCATTATTACATACAAAAGAAGTTGACCATGCTAATATGTGAATGTTGGTAAGAACTCGCATATCAACATTGATTACATACAGAATAATATTGTTGAAAAAACAAACAAACTCAATAACTATAATTAGTCTACAACAGTATTTAGGAAACTAATTCAACTCAAAATGATATTATTATTATTATTATGGTAATTTTCAGCTCTAAACATACATATTTTGTAATATCTACTTCTCAAACAATTCTAAATAGAACTTCACCTCAAGTATATAAATGTTGACTATGTTAAAAAAATGTATGATATTTTTACCAGTAGCTTATACCAATATTCTAAATTCCCTTAAATTTAATTGTATCTAGACATTGTAGTATTTAGCTTTCCTAATAATTTCTTCTTGGAATTTCATTAGCTAAATTCACCTAGTTTTACTATAAATGTTCTTCAGAATGTGTAGATATGCACATGATATAGTGAAGATACCTAAATCACTTTTTAACACAGTTTCAATAACTTCATGAACATGTTTATATAATCTAATTATCCCATAGTCCTCATTTTGTAATAACCAACACCCTACTTGAATTTTATTGAAATTATAAGAATTTGATTAATTAATTTTCGGTATAATGTTTTTGATTTTGTTGTTTTTTTGCTGGCCATAGATTCATGTTTCCACTAAGGAATCTTTTCAGTTGAACCTATAAATCTTGTCTATTTCTATTCACTTTTTAGTTATGAATACTTTGGAGAAAAGGTATTTTCTGAACACAATATTCTAAATAAACATATATATACATTACTTGCATATAAGCATTAAAGTTTTCTAATGTCTCTTCTATATTTCAAAGTTTTTAACACAAAATGTAGGTTTTGTGTATCATATGGACAAGGTTTTCTGTTTGTTTTGATTTTGTTTTTACAATAAATCTGAAACACAATGCACCATTGAGCTTGAGATATTCTAAGAAAGCCAGGATAAGAAGCTAAAAATTTTCATTGAAAAAGCTATCAGCTTAATGAATACACTGTTTAAACCCATTTGGAATGAATGTTAGCCATAAGTTGAAATGTTGAGAAATTAAGAACTTTCACATGTTTACTCTAGACTCACTATTTTCTGTTGCAGTAATTTATTGTATTGACACATAAAGAACTAGTTTACTTTGAAAATTATCTAGAACCAAAGTGCCCTTGTTTTGTTTTTGTATGTTGCCTTTCAGTTAGAAGTGCTCCGAATTTTGCTAAAGGATTAAGAACCATCAATTAAGAATAATCATGAGTCTCCTCTCAAATTTGTCTTATAAATGTTTTTCTTTGATAGTTTTTAAATATTACTAAATTTTTGTAGCCAGATTTTATGCAGTCATTGAGCTAGTTATTTGCTTTAGTTAATAACTTTAATAACTGAATACAGAACTTAAAAGGCTTTTTCTTAATATCAAGTATGCATCTGTTTTATATTTCCACTCTAACAGCCAGAGAACCTCCTCCTAGCAAGCAAAACTAAAGGAGCAGCTGTGAAATTAGCAGATTTTGGTCTTGCAATAGAAGTGCAGGGTGATCAACAGGCTTGGTATGGTAAGTGTCTTTACGAGAAAGTGTAAAATGGGTGTTATATTTTCTGTGCACAAATAGTTAAGTGGTAAACAGTAGTTTCAGAATATCACTGTTATAGCAGTCACTCTTTTATAGTGAATTAATTAAAAGTAAGTGGTATTGTGCAGCAGCAAAGTGATAGAGAAGTTATACATATGCACTTCAACTAGAATTTTAACTAAATGATCTTTCTCTCTCTGTTGAACTGTTTGCTAAGGTCTTTGACTGGTATGGCAATCAACAAAACTAAAGATTAAATTTGTTTAATATTTTTTTTAATTAATACATTTAAATACATCAAACATTGTGGAAGATTAGAAGGGGGAAACAGTATCTGTAAAGCATTGTAATATAAAGCTTTATTGCTTTGAGATGGATGTTTTTGTTTATACCATGAAATTTTACTAATTGTATTTGTTATATGATGTCAAAAAACTGTACGTGTACTTGCAAAATCTACTTTTATAGTTCTGAGAAAACATACTTGTACCATATTTTAAAGAAGCGAACAAGAGAATATGAACAAAGGATCTTTTAAATGTGGTATTCCATTCACATACATGACAGGTTTGACAAGAATAGAGCTAGGCAAGAATTAATAGTTTCATTAATTAATTGCATTTGATTAATTGATTAGTATGGTGTTCCTCAAACCATATTTTGATACGTTTAAGCGAAATAATAAAAAAAAGAAACTTGGCAGCAGATGCTCATCCTGTTGCCTTCCCTATCAGCAGTTTCAAATAAAGAGAAAAAAAAGGTTGGTGATGAGTACTGTTAGACAGTTGCCTTTCCTCTAGTCAGGAGTTCAAAATTAGTGACAGTGGCAGATAGCCTTAATCTTTTTGACCATAACATAGAAAGAGTGAGCAAGTTTGGTAACAATATTTTGATTACTTAAATAGTTGCTGTAATCAAAAATGGTAATAATTGGAAACCCTTATTTTGATTGTTTGATTATTTTCATGAAAATTGATTTAATCATAATTTTGACTAATTGATTAGTTTACTTGACACTAATGTATGTAATCGCTACTCGTAGGTAATCAGATACATCGATTTATCAGTTAACATCCAAAGCTTTTGATAAGAACACTAAAATATACAATGTACATATTTTTAGGCTATGTAGATATATATATGTTTTATTCTTGTTTTCAGAAAGAAGAGGAAGATATGTTCTTTTTGTTTGCTTTTTGGCAGTAATTTGTTAAATATCCTTTGTGGTTCTATATTATGAAGTTTGTGAAATCTGTGGAAAGTACTTGTTTGGACTCTCAGTCTTTATACATGTAACACAAAGCTAAAGATTATTATATTTTCATAAGCCAATAGATATGTTGTTTAGAAGTGAGTGGCATCTTCTCAGTGAATAAGTAACTCCAACTAATTATACTTGTCATAAGACATCAGTGTTAGGCCTATTGTATATTTAACACTGCAATTTTTATCTAGTTCTTTAGGGATTTTCAAGAATTAGAAGAGTGTATTATAATAATAATAATAAGAAGAAGAAGAAGAATACTATTCCAACCACATTCTGTTTGCCACATCCAGTGTCAATTATGCATTTAACTCAATCCAGAGCTCATAAGGTTAGCTGGGACACAACTAACACTGAAGTGTTCAGAACACTATTGACATAAGCCATTTGTTACAATGAATAATTCTATCCCTGCTGTATGATAAAAAAAAAGTCTGGAATGTTATCATCTAACTTCCAATTGCACTCAAGACTTAGTGTGGTCCAATTCCTAACAATTTTGGCTTCTTTGCTGTGGAAGACAAATCTTAGGAACATGGATTGAGAAACCTGTTCCGAGGCTAGGGAGTTTCCATTGTTTTGGAAAATAGTTTTGTGAATTAAACTAGTTTAAAAAAATAATATGGAGGGCATTATTTTATATTTTGAAAAATCGTTTATGTATGTACACTCAATGTATGATCAAAGCATTTCTTTAAGTAATTGTAGCTATAAAATTTGTATTCAATTTCTGTTTGGATCGAAAATTTCATTTAATTGTTGCTATTTTGCAGGCTTTGCAGGTACACCCGGATATCTATCTCCAGAAGTACTTAAGAAGGATCCATATGGTAAACCAGTTGATGTATGGGCATGTGGTAAGTACTGCCCTTATATATCATCACCATCATCAATATATTTGTAGTTAATTATGTACTGGGCTTGTCTCACAGCAACATCAATTAACATATGGTGTTGTAAGACTGTTCTTACTTGACACCAACACATCTGTCATTTCTAAATATTTTTCTTACGTTACATTAATATGTCTGTTTTTTACCTACCCTTCTTTCTTTAGATAAGTATATATGTAGTTTAGCTACTGATGTTCAAACTTCACAAAATTTCTGTAAGTTCTTAAGTACTCATCTTACTTGGTTCTCTGGTAGTTTAGTGTTTAGTTTATAGACTTAAAAATATTAAAATCCTGGGGTTTGATTCTCACTGTGTACAAAGCACAGAGAGCCCATTGTAAGGATTTGTGCTAAAAATAAACAACCAAAAACTGTCTACTTCCTTATCTTAAGACATTTGTAGTTTATTAAATATGATTATGACATAAACATATCTGTAGTTTTTTTAAGTATTCCTCTTACATAATTTCACCATATCTGTAGTTTCTTAAGTGTAATCCTTGCATGACTTTAACATATCTGTACTTTCTTAACTACCCTTACAGGTGACTTCAACATATCTGTAGTTTTTTTAGTATGATCCTTATTTGAGATCAACATTATTCAGTAACGTATTGCAGATGTGTGGTATTCATGTTACTAATGTCTGATAGAAAGCTAAAGTATGCACAAAACACGGATTATGTAGATCTTGTACAGAGAATAAATTGAATGCAGATGACAAAGGTGAAAAACAACCACTGTGAGTTAATAAATAAAATGTTTATTCACAATAATATTTGTGTTCATTACCAAATTCACTAGCTTCTCACTTTCTAATGTGACTTCAACTGGCTGCTGGTTGAAAAGGCTCTTCAGTGTCTTGCACAGGAATGAGACAGGAAACAATCAAAACCACTGAAACCAAGACATATGTGTGGACACTCTATTTTGTATAGTCCAATAAAAGCCTTAGGGTGGTATTCCACAAATCATTACATGTTTCAACTACTATTACACATATAATTCTAACCATCTCTAAAAAGTTTGTACAGGTTTAGGTATTACCTGTTTGAAAAGGTGAACATCCTGAAAGTCTACAGAGATGCATGTACATACAAGTGTGAGATTTATGGCACCTGTAAAAGGATTAGTACATCCAGTTTATAAGAATGTCATAACTCCATAAAAATTTAGAAAAATTGTCTAAATATGCCTAAATAAGAAATACACCCTATATGGAATTTTAAGAGCACTCTGTGCTGAGGGTTAATATAATAACGACAAATTTTTTTTTAAGCAAAGATAGTTTATTTAATAACAGTGTAAGTTATATACATACATTGTTGAAATTAACATACACTAACAACATAAAATCCCCAACTAGTTTAAAAACACCAAGTATGGTATTATCAAAGGCAAACTAACTCAATCACAACCACTGCGATAACTTTACAGTATCATATTACAAAACAAATTTATTTCCATGATATGTTATGTTGTATGTCAGTTTCATTATTTATAATCCTATTTCTATTTTTATATATTTCAGTTGGTTCTCTAATATTACATTGATGATAACATTTCAGTTTAGCAACAAGTTCAGTTTCTCCAAAATCGATTTTATGACTAATTTCCAAAAGTTGCATGGCAGTTGCTGATTTCTCAATGACTTTTGTGTTTCTTTTAATCAAACTGTAAGAGACTGCTTAGTTTTCTCAATATAGATATGTTTACATGAACATTAAATGGAATTTATATTCCTTGTCTTTGGAAAATGCCTCATATTCAATTTTTGTAAAATATTTTTATTAAGCCTTTAAATTTATCTAATTTTATTATTTTTCGACAATAAACCTATTTTGAGAGGACTAAGCAATTGTAGGTAACAATATAGTTTTATGTTTCTCATTTTTATCCTTTTGTTGGTTACCATTTGCATCATTTTTAATCTTTGAAAACACTTTGTTGACCAAATTAGCTACAAATTCTCTAGATAAAGTAATATTTTTCAAATAATTATTTTCATCTTGTATACCTTTTTCATCTAAGCAAGTATTCAACATGCATTAATTATTATTTTATAAACACCAATCTTCTAAGAAATAGCTTGGTTTGACTTTCCGGTTGGAAATAAACACACTGTTTGGTTTGCAACACATTTCTTACTATAATCAACATATAAGAAAAAAAAAGTATCTGATTATTTCTTTCCACTTTAAAAATTAAACTATGCATCAGAATTAATCAGTTTTGACTGATCATGAAATTTCTTAAGCCAATTTTTGTCCATCAGTGTTAAAGTGAAATTGCCATTAATGTAGCATACATAAATATGTGATTTATTGTCTAACATTACAAACAACTTGTTGTCAATATCTTCCATAAAAATATCGCAAATAAGGGAAGAAAGAGGGTTATCCATACTAAGTTCTTGATTTTGTTGAAAAAAATTGTCATTGAATTTGAAGGTACAATTACTAACACATAATTTTGCCATTTGTATAATTTCGTCTCTTTTCATTCCCAGGTGTAAACTTTTACAGTTTGTTTCAACAAAATATTTAAAGCCTCATCTACTGGAACCTTTGTGAATAAACTATTGAATGGGACACCATAAATTTACCTTTTACATTAATATCTTTTATTTTCATTACAGATTCTTTATATTTAAAATTGGAGTTTTTACAGTATGTTTGTCTAAAGATTGTTAAAAATGTCAATGTATTAATTAAGTACTTAACCAATGAATATGTAGGACTATCATTATATGCAACAATAGGCCTGAAGGGTAAACTTTCTTTACATAATTTATACAGATGATAAAATTTTGGGGGAGGGGAGACAATGTTGGAAGGTGAAATATTTTGTTTTCCTTTATTAAACACACTTCTTCATCTTCATTTCAACTTTAATCTGTTGCACAATATATTTCAGAGGGTCACATTTTAATTTTGTATAAGAACCAGCTAATAATTTGTTCTTCATTATATTGATTTGTATATGAAATAAACTATTTGTTTGTAAAAAACTGTTTTATCATCTTTTTATTTAATGTATCCCTTACTAGTTATGGAGGGGTGAAATTAGAATCTATTTCAGTTACAACAATGCATAATATTCAAATTACAGGTTGTCAACTATGGTGTAATGTTTCAAATCAAAATGTGTTTGTATACGTGCATGGAATTGTGTCAATATGCTGTTTTATGTAAGCACTAATTGTGATATTATATTTCTTAATGTGTTTTGTTTGTGTGGGGGATAGATGTGTGGCTACATTCAGTTATTCACTCAATATTTATTGTTTTTGTTTCATATTATTAGATTATTGATTGTGTTTCTAAATATATGTTAAAACTGTATTTCAAACGTGTAGATGTGTTTTTTTACATTTTGCTCTTATATGCATGTGTTACATCTGTGTGTCATTTCTGAATAAGGCCTGGCATGGCCAGGTGGCTAGGGCGCTTGACTCGCAATCTGTGGATTGCGGGATCGAATCCCCATCACACCAAACATGTTCGCCCCTTTTAGCCGTGGGAGCATTATAATGTGATGGTCAATCTCACTATTCATTGGTAAAAGAATAGCCCAAAAGTTGGTGGTGATGACTAGCTGCCTTCCCTCTAGTCTTACACTGCTAAATTAGGGACGGCTAGTGCAGATAGCCCTCATGTAGTTTTGCGTGAAATTCAAAAACAAACAAACATTTCTGAAAGTGCTTGAAAAGTCCCTGTAAATGTTTGTTGTATCTTTTTGTTACATTATTAATGGAGCCGTGTTGTGTCAGTGTATTTTGTATGATTTTAATATATCATTTATGAGGACTTATATTAACTGTTCCCCATGCACATGATTATTTGTTGATCTTAAGCTAAGTGTTGTAAGTGTGCTTAATTTTCTGTTTGCATGTAAATAATGAATATATTGTCCATATTTTGAAATTGTGAGCACATGAGAATATACCATTTTTTTCTGTCTGCAGGTATTTTAAGGCTGTTGTTGTTGATTGGGACACTTTGAATAATTCTAATTCTATGAATTTAGGTTTATCAAAAATGTCATAATATGGTTGGTAGACAATTATGGAGGTTATTATACTGGTATTTCTTTTTAATAGATGATGTGCAATATTTATTCTGTTATACTCTTAACAGTTAGATAATGGGTGATAAAAGGTGCATACTGTAAGTAACTTTTATTCTAGGGTGCATTAGATCAAATTTGTGTCTGGACAAATTGTAAAGATGCCCATTTCTGTGTTAAAATGTCTAGAGATATAGCATAGGGTTTGTGTTTTCACACTCTTTTCTTATATTTATGAATGATTTTTCATATGTCTGTGAATGTATGTAGGAGCAACATATATTATCTAAGCATGAATATTTATGATGTGGTGATGAATTATTTGGGTGTAAATGAATACTATGGTGAAACTAATATAACTGTGAATGTGCTTAACTTAAGTTATTTCAAAAAGTTACTTTTTTTTTACCATACAAAGGTTTTCAGTGGCTAATTATTAGAGGTTCTTCACGTGTTTTTAGCACAAAGCTACACAATGGGCTATTTACACTCTATCCACTGTGGGAAATCAAATCCCAGATTTTAGCATTCTAAGTCCTTAAACTTACTGCTGATCCATCAAAAAACTCTTCAATTGTGTAATTTAATTCAATTATTTTGCATCTGACTATTAATAATTTATGAGAATCATAACAGTTTGAAACATATTGCTTGTTTTTATGCTTTCTAGGAGTAATACTCTATATATTATTAGTGGGTTACCCTCCTTTCTGGGATGAAGACCAACATAGGTTATATGCACAGATTAAAGCTGGCGCTTATGATGTAAGTATATTCCAGTATTAACCAAAATCCTATAATTGCTAAAGAAAATCTAAAATAAAACTATGGTAAAATGTTTTTTGTTGTCTGATAGTTTTGTATTAACTTCAAATTATTATTTTTACAACCCCATACTTTCTATATCTGCACATAGGGTTTAGAGAGCAATAAATATTTATCTTTGGAAACTGTTGTTTTTTTAAATTTTAAATGATACTAGAAAATAAGCTTAAGAAATCAAAGTTAAGCTATTTGATAAGGGCTGACTTAGAGGTTTTCTTTATTGTTTTAGTTTAGTTTAGAGAATGGGACAGCCTAGAAGGACCAATAGATCCCTTGTTGTTCCTAAACATTGTTTATTTGTTTGTTTTATTATTATTTTAGTATTCATAAAACAGTGAAACTTTCATACGACAATACATTAAACAAACAAATTAAATTACAATATTATGATAAAGATGAACCAGTACTGTAAACATTCACAAAATTATTGAACCTGCTGCAGATCAGAGGGTTCAAGGTTTGAGACACTGAAAATGATCTACACTCTCAGCTGTGAATATGTAATAAAAAATCCTGCTATTGAGTTAAAAGTAACTGTATAGGTCATAGGTACTCCTAGCTACGGTTATGTGTGAACCCTAAGGTCTGATCTGACCAGTGTTAGACTCAAGGATGGACAGGATCATAATGCATTCCACCTATTATTTTTGAGGAAACACCATTTGTCACCTATATGCACTATTATAAGTCTTGAATAGTGACTTTGAAGGGTTTGAATATTGCTATTTTATCTCCATGTTGGGTAACTTTATACAATGCACTCACTATTTATTGAATCTGACCATGTAGCCCATGTGTCACATAAGATGCCAATTGGTTAAATATATGAAATAAAATAACATTCTTCTAATTTACCTACACAACAAATTACAGTGAGGGATTCACACTTATAATTCGTGATTCATAGTACTTATTCTTAATTTTGTATGAAATGGGCAAACAAGTGTTTAAAAGGCATTTAGTATATCAAAAAAAAAACTTACTTAAAATGAATTGTAAAATATTTACAAAAATGACAAATTAAATGAAAGTGATGTTTTCTACTGTAAATCAGTATCCATCCCCTGAGTGGGACACAGTTACACCAGAAGCCAAGAATCTCATCAACTGTATGTTAACTGTGAATCCTGCCAAACGGATCACAGCTTCTGAAGCTCTCAAACATCCTTGGATTTGTGTAAGTAGCTGTATGATGGCTTGTATTTAACTTTAAGGCATCTATGATGTGGCTAAGTACAGTAACAAGATTTCACATGTTTTCCACAAAATAGGTTGTGAGGAAGTCAAACTTAACTAGTAGTGCAGTGTCAAATTAGTTCAGAAATGCAAGGAGCATATAGGTCATTTTTATAGACTTTGATTCTTTTTTTGTGTCAAGATAATCAGAACAATTATTAAGATTAGGATGACACTTGTATAAGGTTTCACATAGATGTATTAAAGAAAAAATCCAATATTTAGTAGTACACAATAAATATTTAAAAAAATACTCAAAATACAATAAAGTGTTGTTTTGCTTGATAATTTTCCTGTATCAGAATAAAATAAAATACAGAGAGATGGGGAACAATCTCATACATTATATTTTGATGTCTTACTGCGTCATCATAGGGATGCAGTATTTTGCATGAGGTAAGACCTATATACACACATTCAAAAATCACGATCAAATTTACATACAATTTAACTTAAAAAGAATTTCACATCATCTATTAATAACATTTCCATCTGGTTCTTCATCCTTATTTAATGCTTTAAAATTTTTTTATGACACTTGATTCAATAGATTCAGAGATATTATTACCATTGGTGTTTGCGGGTTGTGCTAAAATAACAGTTTTTTTTTCCATTTGAATCATGTCTTTAATTTCATTACTATGTTTAACTAAAGGTGAAATCTTTGTATTATTATCTCTAACATTTCTTTTTTGTTCATTTATTTTGCATTTTAAATTCATTCTAGTTTGTCCTATGTAAGTATTTCCACACTTGCATGTTATTTTGTATATACCAGTTTTTTCCCATTAAATCAATTTTATCTTTAGTTATATTAAGAACTAGCTAATCTTGTTCATTGGTCTATATATTGGAAAGATATTTTTTTGTTTTTCTACATTGTTGTATTATTTGACAAGATAAACCAGGTATAAATTGTAATACAAGCTTTTCTTTCTTACTTTTTTCAGCAAATGGTTTTAATGTAATATTTTTATCCCCACTTTTTAATATCATGGTCTCCCCATCAACAATATCAGGATTAAAACCTCTTTCTTGATTAATAATAATTCATTGTTAATATCTTTCTGTTTATAACATAATTTTAAAAGTCTATTCACATAAGAATAAAAAGTAGTGATTTCTTTTAGAATTAGTGTAACATGATTTTTGATGAAGGGGACCCTGTGAATATGAATAGTAATAATATCTGTGAATCTATTGAGATAATGTAATTTAACAGAAATGCTTTTAAAGTATTAATTAAATCAGGATGAAGGACCACAGGAAATGTTGTTAACAGACAGTGTGATAATTTTTAAGTTATGTTTTATGTTGTCAGGCTTTTATGGGGCCAGATTCTTTACAGTAGATGTCTGTGACTTGTTGCCGATAAATTTCAACAATAAATGAACAGCACATAATCCACTTGTTTTAAAATGGTATGTTCAAAACAAGTCAAATGTATTTACAAACCTTCATTACACTATTGGTTATCACACTTGCATCCTGAGCTTTAAATAATTGCCTCTTTTTCATCAGTCTACACAAGTGGGTTCAACTACTTTAGAACACACTTTGACAAGACAAATTATTCTCCTCTACTCTGTTGTTACAATAAAAGGCAATGAGAAAAATTCAGAAGGTTCGAGTAACATAACGTCAATTCACACTAATTGAACAATGCAACAAATAATTCATAAACAGTTACATAAGCAAACTTGCCATAACTATCGCTTCTAAAAATAACTTACTTTAATGCTCACACAATATAAACTAAATAATACTATCGTATGATACTTAAAATGAACAGTTGTGTATATATAACATGTGTGAATTTGACCAAGAATTTTGAATGTGTATAAATAGGTCTAAACTTGTGCAAAATATTGCACTGCTCATGATGATGCAGTAAGGCATTGAAATGTGTAAAGTGTATGAGGCTGTTCCCAGTTTCACAGGATTTTATTTTATCTTTATACACTAAAATTATTAAGTAAAACATTTTTTTATTGTATTTTGAGACTGGGGACAGTCTCATTTTTAAATATTTATCATGTACTATTAAACATTGGCTTTGTTTCTTTAATACATTTGTGTAATCAGAACAACAATTTTTTAATATTTGAACACTTTTGTGGCAGTGAGATCTGTTCTACTTTTTTACCACCTTGTATTGAGTCTGAATAATAAAATCAAATTTTGAAAGAAATGTTAATTTAATTAAGGAAGCACATAATGCATTTTGACTCAAGGAAAAGTATTTTTTACCGTTAGATAAATTTGTATAGTTTTTGTAATATCTGAACACTTTCATCAAATCTTATGAAACTTATTCAAATTGTATACATTTTTATTACAAAGAGAATAAATTATAAACTTGGTCTTACTCAATTCTCTTTTGTATGTTACAGTATTCATTAAACAGCAATGAGGTTGAGTAGCTTTTAAACATTTCATTTCATTATTTTACCTAGAAGTTAAATTATTTTATCCTTAAAGAAAATTTCATGATATATGGCTAAACTGTACTTACAAAAATTTATAATACATGAAGAATTGTTTGGAAGTATATTATAGCCATAACATTAACTGAATTTTTTTTAAGTTGGCTGACCAATCTGTTGGTCATTAGTTTAGATGCTGAAGGTGCACATAGTAGAAACACAGAGAAATTTAACATTATATGTTTTTGTTGAGGTTCAGATTACTTGACAAGAAGTTATTAATAATTAAGATTAAGAAATCTAGAGTTTACTATGTTTGTATTTTATTGATAATGGTTTTACCCTTAGATAATTTAATTATATGGCAGCAGTACAGAAACTTTTAAATAAGACATTTTCTCACATTTATTTCACTCTGCTGCGGTTTAGCAGAGAGAGAGGGTAGCTTCAACACTTCATCGACAAGAGACTGTGGACTGTTTGAAGAAGTTCAATGCTCGGCGTAAACTCAAGGTAGTGTTAGATTATTATTTTTTTTTATTAAATCTGGAACAAGTTTAAGTGTATTATGGGAGTTTTTTTGAATTATTTGAATGCTATATTTCTAACTGATTATTTATTTTTTAGTGTAAGCTTAAATATTTCTAGTGTAAAAAAAAAAGAGAGAAATTATTAATTGCTAGATTCTAGAAAAATAATAGATTTCAGCTTTTATGGTACACCTTAACTTACACCTCAAGAAAAAATATTTTGCTAATAAACTTTTTACATATATTTCTAGCTATTTACTTTGAATTAATATTTCGCAAGGACTTAATTAAAAAAAAACTTATAGTGAATTATATCACATAGCACCATACAAAGACATGTATTAGGTAATATTTTAAATTAAAGAGGCCAACATTCACTGTTGAATGCAACATATCTTTGCCATACAATCCCAACATGGCCAATTTTGACACCAGAAAAATTGTAAAAAACACAGAAAAATCTAAAACTATTTATATTATTGCTTGGTATCTGCAAGAAGGTGTCTTTGCATCAAATGCCATGCAAGCTGGTTGACATACACATGAATGATTGAATAGAGTTGTTTAAACATTTGTTTAACAACAAGTAAAACCTTGAAATGGTCTATTGTTGTTGTTAAACAAATGTTTAAACAACTCTATTCAATCATTTACCAGCTGCCCAGTGTTGGCTAACAATATGAAGAA